TTTATCTTTGGCTCCACCACTCGTGGCCGCCAGTGAGCCAGCAGCAGCAGCAGCAGCAGCAGCAGCAGCAGCAGCAGCAGGATCGGAAGAATCTGCAGTCAGCCCAAACTGGGATATGATACTTCTTCTTGCTGTTGCGGCTGCGCCAGCTACTGCAGCAACAGCAGCAGCAGCTGCTGCTGCTGTTGCTGTTGCTGCCTGATCTGGGGGGTTCTGGCTGAGGGACTCTCTCCTTGAGGACCGTAGCAGCATAACACTATTTCTTGCCACTGCTGCTGCTTCAGCAACAGCAGCAGAAGCAGCAGCAGCTGCTGCTGCTACAGCAGCAGAGGGCTTTGCTGCGGGGGGCCCTCCATGGGGGGGCCCCTCTGCAGGGGCCCCCTGGGGTGACAGGCCCTCAGCCTCCATCCAAGCTAAAGGCTCTAGACTTCAGCTGCAGCATCGGCAGCAGCAGCTGCTGCAGCAGCTGCAGCTGCTGCAGCAGCTGCTGCAGCGGCAGCTGCTGCCGCAGCAGGCAGGCTGACGCAGCGGAGCTGTTGCGGCTTGAGTTGCTGCAGCTTAAAGGATTACTTTCGGGATAATACTCTCTGGATCTATTATTGAAACGGAGAATAAGAACAAAACAAATAAATTAAATGAGTTGAGTCAAAAGGAAGCAAACATTCGTTGCCTGCCGCCTTTCGCCTGCCTCGATTCCTGCGGCCCTCTTCCCGCCTTTCTTTCGCTAAATAATTCAAATTTATTATTTCAAATAAACAATTTATTTAAATTATTCCTTTTTTCAGCAAAACAAATCCATTTCAAACATATTTCCCGCGCCAAGCCGCAGCAGCAGCCCCAGCATCACAATGCTTCTTGCTGTCGGCTGCAGATCCCTGGGGGCCCCTGGGGGCCCCAGGGGCCCCCAGAGGCCCCAAGGGGCCCCCCTAGTACCCTCTTCTGTGCCATTTTAAGTTTTGAATAATTAGTACCCCTTTTTATCCGCAATTTGAGGCCCTGGGGGCCCCCGGGGGCCCCCGATGCTGAGGTGACCCTGTGGTCACTTGGCTGCTGCTGGTGTGCTTCGTTTGCTGCCAGCTGTTTGTGTTTCAAGAGAAAGCTGCATCTTTATTAATTAATTATTATTTATTTATTATTTATTTGATAAATGCATTTTAATTTGTCGATTTTGCTGCTCTTTGCGGGTGCCGCAGGCACAGAAGGAGTGCCGAGTGCAGATCCGACAGCTGTGGCTGTTGCTGCTGCTGCTGCTGCAGCTGCTGCAATTGCTCTGCTGCTGCTGCAGTTGCTGCTGCTGCTGCAGTTGCTGCTGCTGCTGCGCTGCTGCGGGATTATTCCATGCACATCTAGCCACTTTGTGGAGAGTTGCTCGCAGGGTTGCTGCTCCCCTGCTGTTGCTGCTGCTGTTCGCAGTGCGGCTCCTGCTGCTGCTGAAGCAGCTGCTGCTGTTGCTGCTGCTGCTACTGGTGCAGCAGCAGCCCCACCGAACCCGCAGGTTTGCTGCGCCTGTAGATCCGCTCGAGGCAGCCAAAACCCTAAACCCTGGGCTGCAGCGTCAAACCACTAGAAGCAGCAGCAGCTGAAGTTGCTTTACTTAGAGCAGCAGCAGCAGCAGCAGCAGCAGCAAAAACTGAGGCGGCAGCAGCGCAGCAAACAGCAGCAGCTGTCTGAGTCTGCGTTTAGTCCCGCTAGCTAGGCTGCAGGCCCTGCTAGCTAAACCCTAAACCCTGCTAGCTGAGCCCTAAACCCTAGCAACTAAACCCTAAACCCTAGCGACTAAACCCTAAACCCTAGCGACTAAACCCTAAACCCTAGCGACTAAACCCTAAACCCTAGCGACTAAACCCTAAACCCTGAAAGCCTTAAAGTCCCAGTCAGCTGCTGGAGCCAAAACGCCGCAAACACTGCAGCAACTGCAGACCCTCCCGCCGTGCAAACCCTAAACCCTAAACCCTAAACCCTAAACCCTAAACCCTGGACGTCAGACGCTGCGAGGGTTTAGGGTTTAGCTTCTGCACAGGCAGTTCAGTTTAAGGGTTTAGGGTTTAGGGTTTGGGGCAAACCCCCCCGCAGCCGCAGCACCAGATGTATGACGCTTTTCTCCTGCAGCAGCCACCGCAAACCCTAAACCCTAAACCCTAAACCCCAAACCCTAAACCCCAAACCCTAAACCCTAAACCCCAAACCCTAAACGCTAAACCTCCAAAACTGCGCCTGCAGCGCGCGGCCCCAGTCCCCCAGCCGCCCACCCCAAACCCCAAACCCCACACCCCAAACCCCAAACCCCAAACCCTAAACCCTAAACCCTAAACCCTAAACCCTAAACCCTAAACCCTACGTTTAAATTGTAATCGGAAAGTTTGTCTTCGTCCCGCATTTGCTGCCCGTTGACTATCAGCCGCTGCTGCTCCGGGGCCAAACCCTCGCGCTGCTGCAGCTGCTGCTTCAGCTGCCGCACAGTGCAGCTAGGGTTTACATCTTCCACTGTTATCATCTTGCCTGCAGCAAACCCTAAACCCTAAACCCTAAACCCTAAACCCTAAACCCTAAGCCCTAACGCTTGCAGCTAGCAGCCCTGTGCTGCTGCGGGCGGGCGGCGTAGGGCCGCAGCGCTAAACCCTGGACGCTAAACCCTAAACCCTAGGCCCTCCTCTGCAGGGCCTAGGGTTTAGGGTTTAGCGTCTAGGGTTTAGGGTTTACAGTCTAGGGTTTAGGGTTTACCGTTCATTGCCTGCACTTGCAGAGAGAGGCCGCCCCTCAGCTGCAGCAGCAAACTCCGACTTGAAGGCAGCAGCCCGTGGCTCTCATTTGCTGCAGCAGCAGCAGCAGCAGCAGCAGCAGATTCAGGTGCAGCAGCAGCAGCAAAGCCAGTGAACTGCAGCGCAGCAAAACACTACAGTCGAGGGTTTAGGGTTTAGGGTTTTACGTGGCTGAGGGGCCTCCTGCGGCGAAAGGAGCGGCAGCAAAGGCTGCTGCTGCTGCTGCTGCTGCTTGGACCCAATGGCAGCTACTGGGCAGCAGCAGCAGCAGCAGCAGCAAAGAACTGTTGCTGCAGAGATGAATGACCAAATGGAGTATCTCATGCTGCTGCTGCTGCTTGTTGTTGCAGCGACTGCTGTCTGCTGCTGCTGCTGCCGTCGCTTATGCTGCTGCTGCTGCTGCTTCTTGCACTGCTGCTGCAGTTGCTGCTAGAGTTGCTTCTGCTGCAGCTGCTGCCAGAGTTGCGCCTGCTGCAGCTCCTGAAGATTTTGCTGCTGCTGCAGAGGACGGTGCTGGTGCTGCTGCGTCTTTAGTAGTTCGTGGCTTACTCAGCAGTAGTTGCTGCTGCTGCTGCTGCTGCTGCTGCTGCTGCTGTAACTGGTGTGTCTGCTGCTGCTGCTGCTGCTGCTGCCTGCTGCTGCGGTTCTGCTCGCGTTTTTGGACTTCTCTCCCCTTGTGTCTCAACTCGCCAATCCTTTTCTTCACAAAAAATAAATATTTTAAATTATTTCTTTTTAAAGTTTCAAATTTCTTTCTCAAGTTCCAATCGAGACAAGAAACACAAAAAGAGGTCCTGGAAGCCAAGGGGGCCCCTGTGGGGCCCCCTGGCTTCTGGCTTCTCCCGACAAGGAAAATAACCAGAAGTTTATTTTAAAAATAATTAAAAACAAAATAAAAATGAATTTAATTAATTAAATCTAAAATGAAGCTTCTTTGCTGCTGCTGGAGCAGCAGCAACTGCAGCACAAGAACGCAGCAACCTGCGGTGTCTGTACACCTCAGCGCCACAGCGACACCTGAAGGAAACCTTTTGCTGCACTAAACCAATTATTTATTCAATTGTTTGTTTTTACAAGACTTTATAGTTGCATTTGGCAATCTGGAGCTTGCAATATTCCTTTTAATGCTGCTGCTGCTGCTGCTGCTGTTGCTGCTGCTGCTGCTGCTGCTGCAACGCTCGTGTCCTTCGCATCTGCTGCTGTTGTAGTGAAACTCGCGCGAAGTGCTGCTGCCTCAGCAGCAGCTGCTGCTGCTGCAGCAGCTGCTGCTGCTGTTGCGGGGAAGCTGAGGCTTTGTGATGCGGCTGCAGCAGCTGCTGCTGTTGCTGCGCTGCTGGTACAATCTATTCATGCTGCAGCTCTTGCTGGGGACCTGGTGCTGCCTGCTGCTGCTGCTGTACCTGCTGTGCAGCTGCTGCTCAATACTGCTGCTGCTGCTGCTGTAGGGCTCATGCTTACTGCTGCTGCTGCTGTTGCTGCTGCTGCTGCTGGGGCCCGGGACTCCTAACTGCCACTGGGGTTGCTGCTTGAGGGCTGCAGCTATGCCCTGTTGCTGCTGCTTCAAGGCAGCAGCAGCAGCAGCTGCTGCTGCGTCATTTGCAGCTGAAGTTCTTACAGCAGCAGCAGCAGCTGCTGCTGCTGCGTCACTTGCATGTGCTGCTGCAGCAGCAGCAGCCAGCATCTGTCAAGCAGCAAGAACCTCGAGGGCCCTGAAGAACCAAATACTTTCAAAAAATACTTTTAAATGCATCTTTTAAAACACTTTGTTTTCTTTTATTTTTTTCAGATTAGAAACCAAAGATAAGCTCCACTACATCTTCTGCTGAGGCCCGGAGCCCCAGGGGGCCCCTCGGGGGCCCTCAGGGGCCCCCCGGGGGCCCTCAGGGGCCCCCCGGGGGCCCTCAGGGGCCCTTCGGGGGCCCCCAGAGGCCCCCGAAGGGCCCTAGGGGGCCCCTCTGGGGCCCTAAGGGGCCCCCGGGGGCCCTCAGGGAGCACCCGGGGGGCCCCCGGGGGCCCCCCCGGGTGCTCCAAATGCTGTGGGGCCCCCAAAAGCTTAGGAGGGCCCCCAGCAGCTCTGCCTCTTCACCTGTGGGGCCTCGGCAGTTCTGATTGTCCCTAGGGGCCCCCAGGGGGCCCCTCTGGGGCCCCCACGCGTTCATATGGAGAACCCCCAGAAGAGCTCCAGGGGCCCCCAGAAGTAGCAGCAGAGGGCCCCCATAAACCCTTAGGGGCCCCTTCGAG